AGATACCAAATCTTATTTTGTGCCACTGAGTATCTATAATTTGAATTACCCATATTTGCATATCATATTCCCTTATGCCCACATCACCACCACAAAGACTAGATTTGGGGGGATCAAAATCATTGCCCATCTGCTCTCTGTAAGCTACACCATGGCTGAAATGCCAGGTGCCCTCTGAAGGCTGCTGTGAGGCCCGTCCTCAGTAGGAAGGAGTCCCCCTCCTCGTGTGCTTGCCGAGCTGAGGTTGAGCACTATCCCTCCACTTCACAATTTAGGACCTTCTGACTCTATTTTAAGCTCTGGGGAGTTAATAAAAAGCTTTTATCAAAAAAGAGGCCAAGATCCATGTCCTTAATATCAAAACTAAATGTTAACCATAAATAGATACATATTAATCAAGCTAAATATTAGCGTGGACATTTTTCCTCTAATGCAATTATCTTTGGCTTTAAGACAAAAATGAATCATTAGGTTCTGAATGTCTTCTGGCAAAGAAATACACAGTGTGAGCCGAACATTCACCATTGTGAGTGTCATTAGAAGAGCTCTGTAGATGTGAATTTGCCAAGTTCATCTTCCTTCATTACCGCCATTAGCTAACAATGCACATGGAGTCACTGCACATAATTACTGCTCAACAGACACGGACATTTGAACGCTGACTTTCCCACAGCCTCCAAATCTTCAGTAAGCAGTTCTCAACGATTCATTATATTAATAATACATGTCACCACTCTCCTAAATATGTATAGGATTAAACACCACCCATATTGCAAACATTCCAATTTCATTTTTAGTATAATTTGTTACCTTTTAGATATTGTAATTATAACGGCATGTAGGTACCACTATAATAAAGGTGAGTTTAACTATGTGGCTTATAAGTAGCTAATTCCACTCCTATTTCAATTTTTAACATGTATTCAAGTGAAAATATTTTACAAAACAAACTATAGAATAATTTTTAAAGTACCATGTTTTTACCCTACCACTCTTTCCCTAGACGCCATTGCTACGATCACGCTGTATCTAACTTTCTCATGATGGCTTTAATATTTTTAATACGGATACATCTATACAACCCATATGTGATAAAAAATAAAACAATATATTTTATGACATGGGATCGAATTTAAAACTGCATAAGGAAGAGGCAAATTAATTTTCATAGACAGGTATTTTATAGACAAATATTTCAAAACTGAAATATATCAAGAAATTGACGTACAATTACTGATTACTAATAAAAAAGTACATTGTAGAAGTTCTATATAGAGCACCTTCAAATTTCAAATAAAGGTAAAAATGATGTCCTTAACCTCAGATCATGTTCCTTTATACTTTATGGCTAACATGAGTACAGGTTATTGACTTAAGCACAGCAACAGTAACAGCTGCGGCTATGTATACCAACAGCTTACTTAATGTATGCCGAACGCTGTAATCAGTACTTTAGAGCCATAATTTCATTTAATTTTCACAATAGCCAAGTGAAGGAGACACTAGTATTATTGGCATTTTACAAATGAGGAAAGTAGAGGCCTACACAAGTTAGAGACTTGCCCAAGGTCACGGGACTTGGCAACAGAGGGATCTGAGTCCTCCTCTGGGCTATGGAACCCCACTTCCTCAGGTGGCCTTGGGTAAGTTCTCTAAACTTATTCACTTGAGCTATAAAATGGAAATAACAGAATTCTGGAAATGCCAGAATTACTAAGAACTAAGTAAGACAGCTTATAAGAAAGGACGGAGCAAATCTTGGAGCTATGTAACACCGCCTGTCATGTTCCTGACGAGATCAGAAAGGGAAGTGCTGGGAATGAAGAAAGCATTGCTTGTTGGCTCTCGGTCAAAACTTCCCCAGAAAAATAGTTCACTTGGGTAAACATTCCTGATTGTTTTACTTGGCCTAACATAGAAACTATTACATAAATGTAAATAGGAATCAATATCTTTATTATACCCTGATAGATAGATAAGCAGGAATAGATTAAGCCAGAAATAAGTCACACAGCTAGGAACACAACCATGAAAACGGTCACATGCACAGACTACCAGTCTGGCCTCACAAAGCACTCTTCAGAACTAAAGCTTTTTACAGTTACCTGGAAGCATTAGCAAGTTCTAATAATTTACTGTTATCCACACGCACATATTGATTTCTAACAATATTTGAATTCATAGACAGAGAAAAGAAAAATAATACTCAAAAGCATCATTATTCATTATTTTAGATATGAATAGGTTTATTTTTCCACAGAGCTTTGGGTTTTAAAAAATTATTTCGTATGCATTGTGTCAAACAATATCCTAAAACAAACATTATACAAAATTTGAGGTCAGAAAAGTGGAATTCACCAAGGTTAATAATGATTAGGAATCTACATATCGGTGTGTGGTGCTGTGTTCACATATGTGCACTGTGTGTTGAACATGAGTCTGTAGGTGTCTAACACTCTGGTTACATATTAGAAAGCAAAAAGGCATACCCCCTATTGTTAGGAATTAAAGAAATCAATGAAACATTTACTGTTAAAAATTAGGGGAAAAAATTAGGAGCAGTAAATGATAAAGTAGTGAAAATTCCTAACACAAAGATGGACTGTATTAAGAATATGAACTTGCCAGGTGCAGTGGCTCACACCTGTAATCCCAGCACTCTGGGAGGCCAAGGCAGGTAGATTTCCTTAGCTCAGGAGTTCAAGACCAACCTGAGCAAGAGTGACCACTGTCTCAATAAAAGAGCCAGGCACTGTGGCAGGCACGTGTAGTCCCAGCTACCAGGGAGGCTGCAGCAAGAGAATTGCTTTGAGCCCAAGAGTTTGAGGTTGCTGTGAGCTATGATGCCATGGAACTCCATGGAGGATGATGGCATGAGGCTTGGTCTCAATAAATAATTAAATAAATAAATAAATAAATAAATAAATAAATAAAATGAACTTGATCCTCTACCTATGTTAAAAGAAGATGCAGAATTTAGCAGGCAGCGATGAGCTGAGTAACCTGTGTGCCCTCTGCCCACGGCTCTGGCTTAGGCAACCACGCCCCTTCGCTGGGTTTCCTTCCACCCCACGGAGCTGCTAGCACGTAGCCATCGGGCTGTGAGGAAACATCTTAGGATGAGGTTGAGACAACAGATACCTGGAACATACGGCGGTCTGCTCCCAAGCACCACCATGTTTTGCTGGGCCTTGTTAGTGATGTGGGGTGCTGCTGCTCTTTTCAATCCAATGACTGGTTGTCTAACTTAGATAATCAGTTAACAGCTCTAACAACTAAGCGTCAGCTTCCTTGTCTGTGAAGTGAACTCACTGGCTGACCTCTAACATACTAAGACTTTGTTGCTGTAGGAATTCTACATCCCACAATGCAAGCTTTTGGGGTTTTTTTTCCTATTGTTTTAGGCATGAGATTTGTCTGCATCTAGTGTCTTTCTTAATGTCTATATGGTTAATGATTTAAAGAAAGTGTATGTCACCAAAATTAAAAATAGAAGCCAAGGGCCACGTATTTTCAGTAATTCTCTTATTCTCTGTCTAGGCTCTCACATGGCTGAATGAAGAATGAAGGGAACCTTTAATTGCATAAATGCACAAGTATGTGGGTTGATTACTGAAAGTTTTTACTTGGTGATGTAAGAAGTAAAAAAATCTTAAGAGTGATAGAAGTGGCCAGGCCCGCCTACCTCCCGGCCGCTCGTGCCCCCCGTCGGTGTGTAACAGCATGGCTATGGGCATCCCCACGTTCTTGGATCTCCCAGCCACAACCACGTTCTTCCCAAATGTTTCAATTCCTTAAAAAACAGAGATTGATGCAGAGTCAACAACAAGAAGAAAAGGAAAACATCTGAACATCCAGCTGGAACCTTCTTCAAGAGTTCTAATTAATGGATTATTACATGGCTCATCCACAACATGCCCACATTCATGATTATTTACAATAATTCTTTTTATACTTCTTGGCTTTGCCACCTCCTCTCTGCTTATGTCTTCATTAAAATACCACAAACATTCTCAAGTTCTCATTAAATTGTTTTTAAACATTGAGATGCACATGAAGAATCAGAAGTGCAGAGGCTTAAAATACACCAACTACTAACTACCAAGCAAGTGAAGTACAACAACGCCGAGTGTGACTGGCGGTGAAGGTCTGAGCACAGCTGCAGCAAAGTGAAGCGGAGCAGAAGGGCCCTGCTCAGAAAACTCTCGCCCTTCACGCCATGGCAAGAAGCACGGAGCTTACGGTGCTCACAGACGAGGACGGGCGTGGGGGTCATGTCTGCAGACCTGCACCCCCTCTGCTGGACTCACTTTCTTCTAAGTCAAATGAAGAAGTTGGACTAAGATTCTTCCACGTATTAACAGTCTTAGACTATGAGTCTAGGATCTGCTTTCCTTTGTAAACTTTCTCCACCAGAAAACAGCAGATAAGAAGGGAGAAGATGGTGCCCAAATTGGAAGAGACAGTGGTGGGCACAGGAAAATGGTGACTAGGCAGGAGATTTTCAGTGGTTAACGTGGGGGCAGACACCTCTGCACACCCCGAGCATCCCTGAGAGCATCACTACACCTACCACGGGACCAAGGTGAATTCTCACAATGAAAACCTAAGTCAGTGGAAATTGTTCATATACGATAGCTTATTTTTTAAAGGTAAGGAAAAATACAATACATTTTAGAAAGATTTTTGTCAAAATACTAACTTTGTAATTTAAAAACCGGAAGACACAATTCCTATTTGGAAAATTTATTCCCTATAAACTGCAACTACAGTAAGCTGTCATCGGGCATATGTTCTTTGTTTTATTTTATTTTGGATTATTCTTTTACTTTTATAACTTTGGATTTTTCTATAGACTGAAGTTTCCTGGCTTACCATTTTTATCACTCTGCAGAACTGAGGTGTCTCCATCCAGGCAATGCCCAGAGGATCAGCTCAGCGGCTGGCACCGGCACCCAGCAGCCCACAAGTCACCAACCAGCAGCCCACAAGTCACCAACCTGTCCTCTTTATCATTTCCCACACGGCGCTGGCGGTGGCGGGAATGAGGGCGTGCTGGTCAAGGCACAGTCTGCCGATGTTGATAATATGGTAGCCGTCTACATCTTTTTCTGGAGCAATTCCATTGCAGATTGTTCGTTCATCCACGTGGCCTAAGGAGTAAATAAGATTGGTCTCATTTTAAAATTGTTATTTATTTGGAAGTCTAGAAAATGAAATCTGGCAATCTATAGACAAATCACTTCAGGTTCAGCTCCTGAAAATGTATAAAACTATTACTCTTTTTGTTTCTTGTCACCAAAATAGTCAGCCGAAGTGCCCTTAACCAATGGCTACAGTTAACTGGTCTCAGAGTACATACGTTGCAGGGGCAGAAGTGGCTGCACAGGTGGAAGGACGGAGCTGTGAAATAAAACAATACCAGTGAGGTCTGGGGGCAGCCAGCTATATATCTTTGTCTTAGTAAGCTTCATATTTTTAAGGGGTTTACATCCATGTTTCTTTGATTCAATATATTCTACTAATAAGCTTCTTACTATAAAATACCTTGAGCAATACAGATTAAAAGGGCTTTGTTAGTCTTTAGAATAGTCATAACATTATTGGTTCCTAGCTTCCTCTCAAACTACATAAGAAAACAAACACAAAACACACACACACCCTTTCCCTAAAGCACTAGGACAATGAAATCTAAAACATCCTGATGGTTTACTATATGAGAGGAAAGAACACAGCCTGAGTAATGAGCTCATCAAATGAGATTTGGGATGCCAATCAACTCATTTTAAAAATTAAACAGTAAGTGTAGAGATGTAAAGTAAGGCTTCTGTTACTCTATGAAAATAACTCAGCTTACCACCAACCTATGTACCTACATCCCTAATACATTGAAAACCCATGTGCCTAGTATGTTGATATGTGTAATAGAAGTTTCTTTGTCTATTATACAATGGATGCCATTTAGACGTAATTATTTTAAAACATCAAAGTCCAAGTTCAAACTTCTCAAAGAGCTACACCTTGTGTCTTTTATCTTTTGTATTCCAAAAATGATTACTGCTACCTTACTCTAAATAGATTGTATTTGCCATCATTAGACTACCAAAATCTTTTAAATATACAAAAGGAATCATATTCAAATAGAAACTGGGTCTTTGGAATGTTTCCCCAATCAATAGTCTTTCACTTTCAACAACTGCTTTCATTTTATAATGTTTACGTTGGGTAAATCTCTGTTTTCTCTGAAACTAGATCACTATAAAGATTCTAGTAAAACTGTTTTAAAAATTGCATCTTTAATGTGTGACCTGACCACAAAAACAGTGGTTCCTTTTTTAAAAAAAATCTGATGACAATTACAATGATGATGAGTACAAGTCATTTTTCAGGCACCTGCCACTCCTGCAGAAGCTTCATAGTATCAATATTATCTACAATTAAATCAAACCTTTATAAAGAAAAATAAAAATAAATGTATTTGAAAATCTCCACTTTTTAGCCAGGGCTCAAATTAGCTCATGTGTAAGTTCAAAAATGTGGCTAACATATGGGCTGAGCCACACATTGAAATAACTGGGCAAGTCCTATGCGCAGACTTTAAGAGCCATCCTCGCTCCAACAAGCCTCAACTGCGCTGAGTCTCGCCATCTGCTGGTGTGTGGTCTCCCATCCACCCAACATCACACAGCAGCTGCCAACATATGGCACCTCACAAACCAGCTGGCATATACAAGAAGAAATGTAAACACCTGAACATTTGGAAGCCAGAACTAGAGAGTGGTGATTAGAGACCTGTCGTCTTGTGTATTTTCTAAACTTCAACTCAGATGATAACTCAGATCACCATTTCAGAACAATTTTGTCTTAAGCTACTTAAATATTAATTCACAGTTTATAAGACAGATGTATGGACAGACAAGACGGTTAGCAGAGAGGATTCATAAAAACTGAGCTTGTTCAGTCAGAAAGGAAAAGGGTCTCATATGAGTAGATGAAAAATGTTAAGATCATAAAAATTAAGAAGACCAATTCATATATCATTTATATGTAATTCTCTGCTACATCCGCAGTGGATCAAATCTGACATCCCAACCTTTGCCAGCAGAAATCTATTTTGCGTTTATGCAATGGACAATGTATAGTAATAATCTCAATTCATATATCTTAACATTTAAACAGTGCTTTACAATGATTATGTGACCTTCACATCAATCTCTCCTTCGATCTTCACAGTTACAGGGGAAGAAGGGAAAAAAGGTATTAACCTCCTCATTTTAAAGACAAGCTAAAAAAGCTTGAGAATGAGCCAATCTCAAATCACTATTGAGAGAAGAATCCAAAATTCAAATCTATATCTTTTTACGCTAAAATGAGTTTTCCTTCTGTATCATACAGAAATCCTAATAAATATTAATCATTTTAAACACCATTCAAAAATTAAAACTACAGAGGCTTACTCCTAACTAATGACATTTATTAACCCTAAAATATCCCAAGAGTGTACTGTTTTTTCTAGAACCCCAAATATAACACTGCTCTTAGATTAAATAATCCATGTCTGAGTACATGCAAAAAAAGCACAAAACATTTTATAACTAATACTACCTCCCTTTATTATATGAGTAAGGTAAATAAATACATTTCATGCTTTCAATTGAAGCCTATGAAAAGTGTCCTGAGGTCTGACCTTTGGGGCACATGACTTAAAAAGAAAAAGCAATCGGGAGACTCAATAGCATCAATTTTCTCACCACAGTTTTAAAACATTTTTGATTCATAGAATACACTGGCAAACAACAAAACATTTACTATCTTCCCCAAGTGAATAAGAGGACTGGCATTATTCACATTGTTTGTGTTTCCCCCTTCTATTTCAGATCATGAGAAGTCAGTAAATCACGCCAGGAAAAGAAAGTCATCAAATTTTCACTGCACTGAAATAGCTCAGAGGACATGCTCTACTCCCAACAGCTCAGGGGACA